GAGAACTGAAATGAATTCATTTTGCAATATGATAAAACCAAAAAAGGACACTGAAGAAATCCCAAGTACACAAAGAGCTAATCTTGGGAAATCATAACTATTTCATGTAATTACACTGAACAGTATTTATATACTATACCTTTCTGGCATATGAATTGAATCAAAACTGCTCTAATCAACTGACCCCTAAAATACAAAGGTACCATTTTTTATATTTTCTAATATTCTTAAGCTTACAACTTCCATCATAAGTTCAGATAGATCATACTAAGTAAGATCTGGGGAATCAAAGATTGAGACGGCTATTTACATTGTTTCCTATTAACAGGAGTTTCTTTCAGTGAATTTATAACAGATGAATTTACCAGAGGGACTCAAATTTGTGTATGCTCCTCCGGAGACAGTTTTGTATTTATATAGCTATCACACGGGAACACAGAAGTATATGTGTTAAGACCTCTAATGAGAGAATTCATTTTGCAGAAAACAGAGAATATACATTACCTTGGGTTCTGGGGGGAAAAGTGCTTGAGTTAAACGATAGATGTTCCCTAAGCTAAATTGAATGCTGGTGTTGGTCAAATTCATTTCATGGAAGTTTGCAGAGTTTCCCTTGGGACAAATATCACACTCTCCAGAGAAAGGCGAAATTGTGATGGTATTCTTTGAGTTATACTGAGGTAAGTTGTCACTTATTCCACCATCCACATAGCGCTTTAAAGTTGGGAGAAGGGGAGAGAAAAACAAAAAGACTTATTTACATAAGCAAAAATTAGCTGGTTTGCTTGATTATGTTACAGATGCCAGGAAGGACTGAGAGAGAAAAGATGTATGGCCTTGTGTTACTTTGTTAGGTATAGTACTTAGGCGACAATGTATAACCACAAATAGATTTTGGTTTTAGGATTACAATGTGCAGGAGGGTGTTGAGTACCAGTCACAGACCACATCTGTTTGTGACTTATATATTTTCACTGTTTCGGGCAGGCATGGATATTAGCAGCCCTCTGGATTGTTGTTATGCAATTCCCATCAGCTTTAGCCAGCGTAGCTAATGATAAGAAATGCTGGAAGTTGTAATCCAACACCTGCAGAACTACAAGATTCCCACTCTTGGTCTAATGTTTCATGATCTTTGGCTATGTCCGTTACGGCTCAGTAATCTTATTCTACATGACCAAAGCTGACCCAATTTACAAAGTTACTTGGAGTAGAGACAGGTATAATACAAAAGATATATCTCAAAATTGTGTTCAGTGTCATTCAGAATATATAAGGATGCAGTTCTCAGTTAATATGTTTGCCCAGTAGCTTTTGCACCATTGAGAACAATTATATGTTGTCTCTTTTTGGATTACACAGTATGTCCATTTGAGGAAACAAAATATCTAAGGTCAGCAAAAGTATAAACTTTACTTCTAGAAAATATTGTAAGTCTCTCTGATCTTTCATTAGACTTACATTTTTCTTTCACTGCATTGTGGGATACTTTGCATCTCACAATGCAAGTGGGGTTCTATTTTTCCATTTTACAGGTCTTTTTTGTAATAATCACAACCTCCTCCTCCTTCTCTTTTTTTTCCACTTATGCACATTGCAGTTAAATAAGTGACATCACTAAGTGGAAAGCCAATTCAGAAAATGTGTAGAACGTCAGGCATACCACATGTTTGTTTGTAGTTGAAGTAAATCCTTTTAGATGACATAATTGTCCAGCCATAAGGACCAGGCAATCAGATTAACCTGATTCTATCCAAACCACAGATTTAGTGTAATATGCTATTGAACATCTTGTACAGGATTTCCACTTTGAAAAAGTAGCAAGGTGTTTAAATCAGTTTATCGCAAATTTCACCAAATCATTGTCTATTATTTGTGGGTGAGTTTTTAAAGGAAAGAACAAGCAAATAAAATCTCTACAAAAAAAAATAGGATTTGTTTTTATCTTCTAGCACGTATAAATGAATTCTTTGCATTATGTTTTCATTCTTTTTACTAAAGTAAGAAGGGCAAATCACACTAGCAAAGATCAACATTGGCATACTCTCTTTCACTCGAATTGCAGGCAGCCTTTAATAGGATTGTTTAAGTTCTAAGTATGGCCTAGAAATACACTACTTAAGAAAGGGTCTTAACACTCTTAAGAGGATAATAATTAATTGCCATTTCATCTTTAAGATCGCCTCAACTGGATCCTACACATACTTTCTAGAAATGAAACATATTAATGCAGTATACATCTGTATGTATGCATGTATGTATAACACACTTTCAAAGATGGTTCACAGAATTCCAATATGATTATGATCAAGCAGCAGTAGACATTCTTATGTCCCAAACTCAACATAACATACATATTGAGATTCTTCATATGTACACTGAAGACATATGCATTCTATTTCCTTAGTCTTCCCATTTTACTTGGTACACGTGCTGCTATTGTCAACTAGCTTAAATCCACAAGCATGTAGACAATTTCAACAGAAAGTAGGAAACCATGAAAATGAACAAAATCTGATTGCCAGCTAACTCTAAAATCAGAACAGTAAATAAAAAGCAACAGTCAAAAAGTAGGGGAAGAAAAAGCAGACAAGAAATAATCAGGGTCAGATAACACCTCCCAACAAAGAATTCCCCCAGGCAGCAACCACCCAGGCTTTAAAGCTGCAAGGCCACTAAATCCTAACCAAAGTGGCCATTTGCAACATTCACACTTGCCTCAAGCAGAGAAGACTTCTTTCTCCCACCCCAGATATTCCACAGATATATAAACCTCACTTGCCTAGATTTCAACAGACCTCACAACCTCTGAAGATGCCTGCCATAGATGTGGGTGAAACATTAGGAGAGAATGCTTCTGGAACATGGACATACAACCCAGAAAACTCACAGTAACCTAGCTTAAAGTAGTTTTATTAAGAAGTATTAAGCATTTACTATAACAAAGAGTTTCTGAGAAACAGGCATATGTAGATAAAAATAAACAAGTACTTACCACTCCTCTAAATGAAGGTGGAATGAGGCCGCAATATATTGGCACAAATGAACTACAAAGCAAAGCCTGTGGAAAAAGAATAGTCAGTTTTACAACTCATTTCTGGTAGTTTAAACTAAGCTAAACTGAATGCTGGTGTTGGATGCACTCAATGAGGGTGCATGTGAAAAAATATTCGGATATCTAGAAACTACATATTTAATGGGAACTATGTGGCCTTCCACTGATCTAAGAAAACAAACAGATCATTTTCAAAAGCTGTATTTTGGAGGAATTCTTTCTAACCTGACTTGTCAACTGGAGAAACATTACGTTCAATCAGGGTAGCTAGCTTTTCAGTAATAGCACGGGTGTAGAAAAGAGACAAAGTGTCAGGGTATTGAAAAATCTTTCTATTTAATCAAATGCATTTCTTTCTGATCTAGCCTTCTTCAGAGGAATGCACCTATAAAATCACCTGCAAGGATTTCAAAAAGAGTGATTTCTGACTTTTTGCTTGGAAACTGATCTTTCCCATCTTCTCCATGGCTCCATTCTACTAAGTTGTTTCATGCCAATGAGCTAGGTAGCATGGGAGCAGAGCGATTTCAGTGGCCTCTCTCTGCAATCTCATTTGTATGAGTGTGGATGTGCCTTTGTATGTTTAAAACAAGAGTATATAGCTCTGACACCCACTGTGACTTTTGGCATCCATCCCTCCTGGCTTTGGCTTTATTCATAGTACTAAGATATGGCTTTATAATTGCATGCTGGATTTTTATCCACAGGATGAAAATAGCTCCGCACCCTGCCCTAAGAGAGAAGGTAGAAATGCATGTATGAAAAGAAGAAGAAAAGAACCCACATTGCCTACCCAGAACTCCTGCACATTACAAATTCTACTGGAACATTTCAGAGTACATGGCTGGTTCATGGCCAGCACCAGCCAACCTCCCGTATCTCATCACCACGCCTCTATAAAATGAATTTATTCAAAAACAGCACCCCTTGGGTCACACACTGCAGAAACATGTTGACCATAGGTAAACCAACTATTCAGTAGCATCATTTCTCTGCCATTGCTAATTTTCTTACTGAGGAGACCTGTAATGCCATCAGAAGAACACTCGGTGGGGTGGGGGGGCTGAGTCTGAGTGAAAGAGGGTCTAGCCTAGCAAACCTTTTGTATCATTACCCCAATACCCCCATGCATATGGGATATATTGAGTATGGTGATCAGATCATGATATGAATAAGCATAACAGTTTAAATAATGCACCAGTAAGGCCTTTTCGCGGACCACCATGAGAATTTCGGGGGGGGGGGGGGGGGGGCTGAAATCCCTACCTAGCATTGTGCATACTTTCAAAAGAAAATAGACTTTCCATACTGTAAAGTATGCCAAGCTTAAAAGGATGCTAAGTAAGAAGGCTGCAAAAAGTGAGACCACCATGTAGTCCAGTGCTACCTCCACATACAGAATAGGTTCTTAAGTTGAACTTTTAAGTAAGTCAGAACAGTTACATTTTTAAATGTAACTTCTGCCATTTTTTAGGGTTTTGTAGTATAGGGAGGCGTTAACATCCTTGTTTTACTGTCTGTGTCCCTATTCAAAAGATTTCACCTCACTTTCTGTCCTCATGACAATGAGATTTTGAAAATTTTGGTTCATTGTGGAAACAAGAATTGGTGATAAAGCTTCAATGGAGACATCCCTTTCCCATGATATATCTTATAGGGGGAATTTCCCTTCCAATTGATAAATTTCCTTTCCCTACTGTCTCAGGGACAGAAAGTGAGATAAAAACTTTCTAAGGACACAGACAAAAAAAAGCTCACAGCGGATCTAACCCCACATCAAACGAAACAAAAATAAAACAATAAAAATGGCAAGGAGTTCTACTTTAAATGCAAATTAGAAAGATGCTTGTCTTAACATACAATTAATGTTTACCTGTGTATGTAAATGCTTAAATTGTTTCAAATACTGCAAAAGTCCCGAGGCATGCTGCTGACTGGTGCAAAGTCTTCCAGATGACCTAGAGACACTCCCAACCCCTAACGTTTGTAACTAGGAGTTGGATATAAGTCGAATGTTTGTAACTCGGGGACTGCCTGTATTTGGCAGAGACTGGGGGATGGGGTGGGGGAATTTTGCTACACCCATTCAGTTTATGTGTACTGACAAGGAGAGTTCTTTGTTTAAACCTAGCTAATGAAATGTGTTGTTTTCTTTATGTTAATAATAGGAAGATACAGTAATCTAAACTTTCAATTGAATGTACTTTAAGTAACTGCAAAATGTAAAGGTATTTAAAGAGAAGAGTATTTAAAAAGTATGTGAAATCTTATTTTCCTGCATTTCCACAAAAATCAAATTCACACAAATTAGCTCTTGCTTATTGCATGCTCTTGCAATGGGGTCTGTTTCTAAGCAAACATGTAAAAACTTTGCTTTGTATATTTGGTACAGAATTTGGTAGTAATTGTATTTGTGTATGTGCCAAAAAGCTGTGACCACAACAAAGTTTTTTTTTATACACAGCTCTGTTACAGAAAGCCACTGAAAACGAATTTATTGGCTGATTTGTATGATGTTTTTAAGATGTTTTTACTGTCTTACTGCTTTAATTGTATTTTTATGATGTATACATTGTAAGCATCGTTGATGCCTATGTGAGGCCGGCCTGTGCTAAGCAGTGTTAAAACTGTAACATTCTTGAGTTATATTCTATCTTATTTACTATTACTAGTTTTATTTCTGATAATTTAAATTGTTTGACTTGTTATGTGTTTTATTACTACATTAGTTACAACATTAGCTCATATACTACTAATTTATTCTTCAACCTGACCAACTCTCAATCATAAATCTGCCACCCCCTTTCACGCAGACCATCCATACCTCTTACTTATCCCAACTCTTAACAAATGAAGCACCAACTGTTTGCCACACAAATGACAAACTGTTTCTATGGTTTTTCTTTGGGCATTGAATGTTTTCCATATTTGTTCGAAACTGCCCTTAGTCCCTTTTGGGGAGATAGGGTGGTCTATAAATAAAGTTTATTATTACTACTTATGTTATTGTTTTGTTGTAATCTGCTCCAAGTCCCTTTGAGAATTGGGGCAGGATATAAATAAAGCTTCATTAATTAATTCATTCATAACACAATGTCTTCATGGTTTTTTAATAAACTTCAATAAGAACTAGAGCCATACCTGCACAACTTCTTCTTTAGATTTAAAGTTGGATACCAACACGTTTTTGCCATCAGACACTCTGGTAAGTGAAATCTGAAGCTTTCCTGATATCAACTGATGAGTGTTTTCTGGAAGATTTTTGCAGAGTCCATCTCTTATTATTTTCATCACATTGAAGGATGGATGAAGAGGGCCAAGATTTCGCTTTCTTGCTTCTTTGGCTAAACCCAAAACATCTGCACAGGCTTCAGCTAAAAGATGAAAAATTATATGTAAGACGGGATATATATTTTAGGTGCTTTGAAAAGACAAATTATCTCAGTGGTTCTCAACCTGGGGTCCCCAGATGTTTTTGGCCTTCAACTCCCAGAAATCCTAACAGCTGGAAAACCCAAAAATAAGCCACTCTAAGCTCCCTGGAAGAAAAGCAAAACCTGAAATATAAATAGGCCAAGGATATGATTAGTAAAAACGAGGTGGTCAATTGATTGGTGAAATATTGTCAAATATTTGTCAAATATTTAATTTTGCCTTATTAAAATATATATACTTTAATCAAAAAGTTCATTTATTATGGAAACAGTCACATTAGGCAAACATTATAGCTATCTGAAAAGTGGTGTTCACCATGTGCCTCACTTCCTCAAATCAAATTTGCCTTGCACAAATTCACAATATATAATTTTAATATTTATCCATTTTATTTAATAAAAGTTCTAGCCATGTAAGGGTTTGCTGGTTAGTTCCTCTCTTTGGCTTTCAGCATGGAACACCAAAGTTAAAATTACTGAATTTCAAAAATAAACCCCAAAAAGAACAAATTAATATACAAATCAAGCAACAACTACGACAAGAAGACAGCAGAACCAAAAACCTCGCTTTAGAGACAGTTCTGCTAAATTAGCAGCAGTCCAATTCTTCGACTGGTAAATCAGTTGAAAATATTTGACCAGTAAATTGATTGACATGCATACAAGTCAATGACAAAGCGGAAGAGAAAGGAGGCTTTATATGTAATGAATCGTTAAATATCATTAGCATTTACTGATTTATATAGTACCAACAATAGTTTGAAAATGTATTTTAGCAGCAATGTTTCATGGATACGAATAACTTCATCATTCCAAGTCAACCATAATTAAACACGTTAATCCTGGCTTTGATTTTCTTTAATATTTCAGCAAAAACTTGCACATTCCAAGCTTTTTTTAAAGCACTATCTTTTGCTGAGATCAGATTATATTCATTCATTTCTTTTTTCCCCCCTGAAAGCTACTAAAGAATTGGAAAAGGCTAGTGTCCTGTAGTAACCTCCTGCATGAAGGAAGATAACCAATCGCACCATATGTCAGCAGAGTCTCTGCTCATTTTCTTTACCCAATCACAGGACAGCAAATGCTGCACACCACCAGTTTATTACTGCTGCTTTTCACTCCCTTCACAGTTTCTGTCACCTACTTTACTTCCAAAGAGGAAGGCAAAGGCAGTGTTCCCAAAGGAATGGGCCCTATGAATGCCAGCCAGAAAAAAAAAACAGTCTAAAGATCAAAAAGGGCAATACAAATCAAACACAAAAGAAATTCAGCGGTTACATCTACAATCTTTGATTATACCTATGATTTACTTACTATTACCTACCACTGAACTGGGGATTCTAATAAAATGTAAATAAGTTATTTAGATTACAGCAGCAGCATTAACCGGTGGCGCACCAAGTGTTTTTAGGTCTGCCATTCCCTTACCAGTGGCTGTGCTAGACAGTGCAATATATTCTTGGCCACAAATTCCTTCTACTGGGTTAGAACAACCCAAATAATAACTTTTGGGGGAAATATATGTTTATATGTATACCTAAAACCATTTCCAAGGCAAAAATCTGATGATAATTGTTCACATGTTTCCTATGTTTGTTTTTTTAATAAACTGGACTAGCAAGAAACTAAATTTAAACATAATAGCGGCAGCAGTGGGTACCTAATTTTTTTTTCTTTGTACGGGAGTGTGTATGTGTGCACAATGAGATTGCTTGCTGACTTACAGTGACCTCAAGTTTCATAGTATTTACCTGGCAGGAGTATTCAGAGGTGGTTTTGTCAGTTCCCTCCTCTGAAAAATAGCCCACATCAGCTTGGATTCCTTGGCAGTCTCCCATGTAGGCACTAACCAGGACTGACCCTGCTTAGCTCCCAAGATCAAAGGGAATCTGGTGCCTTGAGGGCATTCCATGTTTTAAATCAAAGCCATCTCCCTTAGCCCACCTACTTTTCTATGAAATTTGAGTAAGGAGCAAATACAGAGAGCAATTCTTCTGTCAAATTAATCATGATGAAAATCTTATGGATTACTGCTCTATTCAAATTCCTAGTCTCTCCCTGTTCACATGTCTATGATGTTATTTCTAAATCTTCAGTCATCCACTGTGCATCAACCTAACTCAGCCATCACTCATTCTAATTGCTCTCAATTAAATGTCACAGGCTCTTTTCTAGCATGGTAAGTAGTTATTAATGTCTTTGGAGTATCAAAAAAAGACAACAGTGAGTGCTAATATCCAAGTCCCTCTATGCTTTCATCTATTATTCAGTTTTTAACATAACTTCTCATGTGATAAAAATCTAATTAAATGTGGGAAACCATTACACTATTATTTAGAACAGGGGTCCTCAAACTAAGGCCTGGGGGCCGGATACAGCCCTCCAAGATAATTTATCCGGCCCTCGCACAGGGTCAGCCTAAGTCTGAAACTACTTGAAAGCAGACAACAACAATCCTATCTCATCAGCCAAAAGCAGGCCCACACTTCCCACTGATATACTAATAAGTTTATATTTGTTAAAATTGTTCTTCATTTTAATTACTATATTGTTTATATGTGATTTTTCCACTACAAATAAGATATGTGTAGTGTGCAAAGGAATTCATTCATGGGGTTTTTTTTTTTTCAAATTATAATCCGGCCCTTCAACAGTTTGAAGGACTGTAACCTGGCCCTCTATTTTAAAAGTTTATGGACCCCTGATTTAGAAAAATAAATGCAGTACAACATTTTTTCTTGATTGTTGTAGAAAACCAATTTGAAGCTGTACATTAACTTACAAAAGTAAAAAAAAGTATTTTAAGATAAGGTAAACCAATTATTTAGAAAGTTTAGCTCTAAATTCAAGCAAATTTTCTACAACTTCGATAACCTGTGTTTTGTCCATATATTTATATTTATCTGTCACTCGAAACAGGGTGTCCCTTCCCTTGACTGGTACATTAAAAAAGTCAATTGATTTTTTTTGTACAGTTGTATCTCCATATCCACAATTTCTGCATTGATTCAATAATCCACAGCTTGTGTGTTTATATATATATATATATGTATGTCCAAAAAAACACACATCGATTTTCCCATTTTACATAAAAGATATCATCCTACTGCACAATTGTATATAACAGGGTGTGAGTATCCAGAGGGTTTGGTATCCACAGGTACTGGAACCAAAATGCCACCAAAACCAGTGGAACCAATCTAAAACAATTAAGAGCCTACTATATAAAAGACTTAAGATTTTGACATAATTTGATCACTATGAATCTCATAAGCATCTCCCTAAAAATGTCATTATGTCTTTTCCAGGGTTATCAAGATCATAACTAGTGATTTATTTAGCACCAGTGGAAGAATGTGACCTGCATCTCCTCAGAAAAAAAATATACCCTGGTTATTAAATTTTCTATGAAAATCTTTGAAAGATACTAGACAAGATGGAAAATATAGTTTCAATTATTTAAAAAGGAACCTATGATAGGGTTGAGTTTTTGCCAACTTTTCTCAATTGAAAGTGAACTCATAGTAAGTAAATCTTAAGAACTTTACTCTTGATCTGCTATCAAATACTGCACTTATGTTCATATAAACACTGTCACAATTTTAGAGAGAATGTGGAAAGTTTTCTGTCTCTAGTTATTTGAATGTTCTGTAACTTTCATGATAACACTCCTCATCCTTAGGACACTAGGCAGGATCTAATCATGATTATCTTCTACACAGAAAGGGCCATCTTGCTCTGATAGAACAAAAACTAAAACAATTCAAGACGAAACAGGAACCACTTACTCAAAACTGAGATAACCCCAACCCAATATTTCTGATAGAACGGAAAGGAATTTAAGAAAGTTTACAAAACAGAGCCTTCGTTCAATCCTCCCTATGTATCTGAAACATTTTTCAGACAAGTCAAGGAGTCCTTTTGAACAATGTGACAATGTGCGGAGGTACAAAGAGATTGGGGAATTCTCAGCAAGGAGGTCAATAAATGATGGGCGAACATGTAATGACCAATATGTTTCTAGTTTGCCAAAGATATGTCAGACCTTGAATACTTAACACAAAGTTAACACATTCTCTTTAACACTACAAAGAATTTGGGGGCTCTCTCACTTCATAGATGCTGTGAGATTTTCTGCATGCTGAATGAATAGTAAATCACTTTCTCTTGGCTTTAAGGACACTCAGGAGCTTTTCTCACTGCTTCCAAGAGTTTTTGAAGTTTGTAGCCACCTAAGCTAAAATTTGTGCAGCCTTCCAGACAAGTTTCCCTAGCAGAAATGGAAAACTTCCAGATTCCAGATTTCGATCCAATTCTGTGTGCTGAGACCATTTGATCTTGACACCTTCCCCAGGTCATGCCTCCTCTCCTCAGATCAGTCTAATTATAACTGTTATGGCTGTACTCCATGCAGCGCAGCAATGAGAACACCTTGCTATACACCCTACTTTAAATGCTGCCAAAGATTAAGTGCAGTTTGCATATGTAAGAAATAAAGGAAAGCTACTTTATTTTCCTAATGTATGTATAAAAGTTTTTAAAATGTGTGCTGTATAAATGACCTCTGAGTATTCCATACTTAAGAATTCCATGCTAAGTATTCCATGTTTAAGGTATTTAATTTTGCCTCTGCTGTAAGCCACATTGAGTCCCCTTTGGGGTCAGGAAGGGTAGGATATAAATATAGTATATAGGATATAAATATAGTATAAATATAGTAAATAAATAAATAAATAAGAAAACCCTATGAAATTCATGAGACTGCTATTAGTCGAAAATAACTTGAAAGTGCGTACATACACACACAAGCCCCAAAATGAGGAGTAGGTACTGGAAAAATGTTTGGGGACCATTTTGTGTTACACATTTCTCCACTCTTCAAAAGTATTGACAAAGGGGATGCAAGGCCTCATATGGGCCCAATTAATTTTCCTAAT